CTCCTCCTCCTCCTCCTCCTCCTTCTCCCTCACCGCATTCACACGCACTCGTGGCGAGGCTGCGAAGTCACCGAAGCCGACGTGTCTCCGCACCGCTGTGCTGGCTGTGACTGCAAAGTGCTGTAGTAGGCGCTTTGCATCGGTCACCTCGGTGAGCATTTCAATCACCTCCACATAGTCCTATTGCAAGCAAAGTTGGAAAAAGGAGGCGAGAGGGAGGGAAGGAGATATTTCGATGGGTTAACTCAATGCTTCCTCCATCCCCCACTTTTGCATTCCTCTCATCCTCTGCACCCGCCCCTTACCCTCCTCCTGCCTCTGCTTCTGCACTTGCCGCTGCCCCAGCCCCACCACCAGCACCAGCACCAGCACCAGCCTCACCTCCCACTGCCTCCCATCCCCTCCTCTATCTCCTCCCTCCTCTCCACCCACAATTAGTCAAACCTCGAGGGAGAACTGGCATGAATGGCAGCTTAATGAATGTGAGTTAGCCTAATCAGTGGGCACTGACTGAGGGAGGCCAGTCAGTCCACTCACAGTCGTATAATGCAGTGACTTTGGCACTGCCGAGATGCGCATCACCCACCTGCTTGCAGTTTTGAGGACAATGGTGAAAGTGACTGCCTCCGGTTGCGGCGACTTCCGACTGCGCAACCGTGTGGAAGGTGGTGAAGGAGAGGCGCACCGATTGGTTGGCGTGAAATTGGAAGAGGTAAAGGCAGGTGGAGTTGGGTGGGTAAGTGTTGGCAAAGAAGGGTGAATTAGTCCACCCCACTTCACCATCGCGGTAATCGCTGCTGTTGTAGACGAACCAGCACATGTTAGGGAGGAGCATAAGACCCGCGATGCCGTAATCTGCGAGGAGGGAGACAAGGCGATGAGGCGAGGCCCATGGCTTAGGCGCACTGCACGGTTGTGTGGAGGGTGTGGTGTGGCCAGCTGCACAATCGTGACTGCCAACAGGTGGGTGGCTCGTCGTCGACAATGCATCAGACGAGGTGGAGGGAGTGCATATTGATGCACGGCGAGAGAGGGGTGAGTGTGGGGAGTGATTTCGGCTCATGCGACGAAGTTACCATTTCCAGTAAGGGTGGAGGACATGGTTTGAGGTTGTCGTGCGTCATTGTGGTGTGATGCTGGGTGATCGCATGACTGTGAGGAGCGTGGATGGCACTTGCTGCACATGGGTCGGATCGTGTTGTTTGCTGGCGTTCTCGCACATAAGCCATAGCCACATGTGGTCAGATAGTGCACAACGGCATCCGCATGTGGATGTGACGCCGCATGCAGGCAGGTGGATGGGAAGGATGGGAGGAGATGTGGTGTGTACACATGTGGTCAAGTTGGAGGAGGTGAAGCAGCAGCAGCAGTAGTAGTAGTAGCAGTGGTATTGCAGATAGTAGCAGCATTGGTGGCAGTGGTAGTAGTGATGGTGATAATAGTAGTAGGGAGTTGTGGGTGGAGGAGAAGACGTCAAACA